CTGTTCTTGAGCTGTTTCTATTGAAAGCATTGCTTTTGTAGTAAAGTGTCTTTACTGTTATATCTAGGCTCTTAACAATATCTCCTTTACTCAGCTTTGCAGGCTATCCTTGATGACTAGGCAGAGCAGAATTGGGTATAAGATCTTTCTTATAAGATGATGACTTTCAGGACTTCCTTTGAGAATTTTAGACTTTGTTTCAAAGTGACAGCATGTTTTCTAGCTGAGTGAGACAGGCTGGCATATGGCTGCTGTGCCATGCTGCCTTAAAAGCACCCTCTGAAGTCCCCAAGGAGCATCTAAGACCACTATTTTTGCACCAGTGTCTGTTCTTCACTCAGTGTATTTCCCTTGTGTGTTTTTCCTGTTAAGATAGTGTAAGGATGTTTTGAGTTTGATAGGCAGGTGTTGGATTGAAGATTAAAGTATTTTTTGGTGTGTTTGATGGCCGGGAAAATACTGGGGAAAGAGCAGTGTTCCATCCTACAAGTGGGTTCATCTCTTTCTAGCACTTCATCTCCTCTGTGAAGCTTGACATAAGCTAACATTTCTCAGGTTAATGGTATTCCTTTGTAGCTTTTATCAGGGATTTGTAGGCTAGGCTTGCATTCTCTCGTGACCAGGCAGTGTCCCTCTAGCACAAGATCTTATTGCTGCTGGTTCTTCACACTCTGGAAAAGGAAATGCTTAGTGGTAGCATTTGCAATGAGGTGTTTCTCTTGCTTTATGAGAGAACAGTTTGCTGTCCCCCTACTAAAATTCCAACCAGCTCCAAAGCAGCCTAATGCTACTAGGTAACTCCATTTTTCTGACATCCTAGTCTTCCAACTTAAACATGACCTTGTAGTGCTTAGAGTGTAGATGGTAAGTTTAGTGTAAAGCTTATCACTGTTCATCATCCAAGATATTTTATCTGTTGACATAGACTATGCATAAAAAGTTGTTATAGAAGCTCATGAAAAATTGTCTCTTCCAAACAGCAGACTTGTGGGGTCATCCTTTAGAACAGTGCCTTTTTATGGCTTGTGATTGGAATGCTTTTGGTCATTTCTTTCAAGGTACCTTTTCACCCCTCACTGACTTGCTCTCTGTTACTATCAGTTATGTTTCAGCCTTTTCACTTTCTTCTTTTTGGATGTGAAATTCAATTGCAATAAGCTGCTCTGACACCTTGTGTTTAGCAGGACAAGGATGCTTTACTCTTGCAGCAAGATACCAGCAAGTTCCTGCCACTTCAGGAATAGAGCTTTATGATTGGAGAGAAATGCAGAAAATGTTTTGGTTTATGAATGAACTGTAATGAGAGGGAAAATGCGTTTCTAGCTCCTGATTCTAGAGCACATCATGCATGTTCAAATTTGCATTTTCCCACGGTAAGAGTTAGATCTAAAAGTCAAATAGGGCTTTCTATTCTGAGAAGTTTTCTGGTTTTGCTGACCATTCATATTTGTATGCCACTGAACATAAGGGAGAAAATTCCAAGATGTTTCCATTCCTACTTCAGTACTGAATATTTGAAACCAGATCATAAAACAGCTGTACTGTCCCAGTCCAGCAAGTCATCTTCCATTAAGTGTTGTGGATATGAGGATATCTGCTGGGCTTTTGGGGCTTTTTTGTGTTGCTTTACATAGTCATGCCTGCTTGAAAACAAAACTGTTTCATGATGGATTCAGCTTTCACAAATTGAGTCAGATTTGATTTAAATAACATGAATTAGATACTGTCTTCCCTCCCATCTAAGACTGGTTTTGGAAAGAAGTAACCTTTAGAAGGGGTATAGCTTAATAAAAAGGAGAGCAGTCTAGGTATGTCTGATCCTGGAGGTCTTAGGGATGTGTTGGAGCTGTAGCTCCAACCAGGTACCAGAGAGAGAAGCTCCTTACTGGTAAGAAACTTGTGGTTTGGAGGAACCTGGTTTTAGGCAGGCCTTGGTTTCTTAGTCATGTAACATTTGGAGTATAGGATCTCTAATCTTCTATTATTACAGCTTTCTCCCCAACTGCTTTGCTCTTAACACAAGCAGTGCCCTGAAAAGAGTTTGTCTTTGCTAGAGGTAAAAAAAAGCCAGATCCAAAAAATGCTTTATTCTCAGGGTCAGAATAGAATTCTTGAGACAAGAAAGCTTCGTCTGCTGGGGAGCTGAATCTAAAAGACATTTGTAACCTTATATTCAGAGCTGCAATAGTGATATTGGTCTGGAGTTTTGTATGTTTTGTTTTGATTTTTTTTTTTTTTTGAGCCAAGGAAGTGTGGAGAAATACATTGGTGTTATTGATTTGGCTATGTAGAAAGTCATCAAGGAAAAAGGTTCGAGTTTCTATCAGAAACAATGCTTTGTTCCACCTTTTCAGCCCTTTCTATTTCAGGTTATCTGAGTAGCAGCCTGATTCAGTGGTAAGAATCAAGGTCATATTTTATTCAGTACAAGAAAATGGAAAATCTGGCAAGAGCCTAGATACCTGTTTTGAAATGGTTTTATTTAGTCCTTTCTGCTGCAGCTGCTGTCAATGGAAAGAGATAAAGCTGATGACAGTATACAGGGAATTTACTGTTCATTATTCATGACTTGCTGAAGGTTTAAGTCTGTGAAGGATTTTGTTATTCATTTCATAGGTCTTTCAGATTTTCAAGCATGATTGGCTGGCAAGAAGCAATTAAAGAAAAGATGCATATTTTTCTTGACTTACTAACCTTGACAGAGAACTTGAGAACAGAATTTAATCTATAACCATTGTCATGGACAAATTCAGTTAAAATTGCAGTGTAGCAAGATTATGTTCATGCTTAAATCTGTCATTATTTGAATAAACTCTAGACTTGCATTTTGTGATGTTATCCTTAGACCTAACTAGCTCTGTTGTGAAGCCTTTAATTTATAAATAAAAATCTGAATTACAAATTTAGAGCAGTTGTAGACTTAAATAGGATGTGGAATGAGTGAGTGAATGTTTACCTGTAATGCAGAAAAAAAACTTCCGAAGAGAAACAATTATCAGTAGTGTTGTTGTTTGTATTATTTGTTGTTAAAGTAAATTTGGGGATTCTTAATGTAAATAAGTCAGACTTTGATTTTACCTTCCCATTAAGATAAATGGAAGAAACTACAGTTCTGATTCCAGATGTCAGTCATCAACTGAAAGGCTCTAGTTTTAGACCACCACACTTTAAATTTACATCTGTACCTACTATAATGTGTTCTGTAATTAAAACTGGACATTACAGGTTCATTTTACAGATTGTTCAATATTAAATTGCTTTCTCTCTGGTCTTCCCTGGAATCTGAATCTCAGGTTGTATTCCCTTTTACAAGTATGCCAATTGTAGTATGCCTTTTACAATGTGCTCAATTATATTCCCTTTTTACAAGTAAAAAATTGCTCTAGGTTGCCTTCTGCTGTGACACACTTGCAATTTTTTCAACATAGTTCTACTACTGTAGATGTTAAAAAGATTTAGTGCTTTAAAGAATGTCTTGCAAGTACTTTATAGGCACAGTCATTTCTATTAGAAAAGCATGGCTATTCTTCTGTAAAGGAACACTTTCAATTTACAAATAGAATACTACCCAAAACAGTGAGGTCTTAAAAGCAAAGCTGTTAGACAACAATATTTTTCATGTCTTGAAGTTGGAGCCGGACAAAATTAAATTTCCCATTGCAAATTCCCCCTTCCTTTTCCTCAGAGGAGTTAATCAAAAGCAAAAGTGAGAGGAAAAGCATTGTGAACCACTGTAACATCCTGGCATAGAATCTACAATCATTATTCTCAAATAATAAAGTTGTTTTGTTTACGAGAGTCAGAGCATTTCTCTGTTTCTTCTTCCTCAGTTAGTGTCTGTTACTCATTACAGATGAGAAACCTTTTAGTGTTTTGTCTTAATGTTGTTACACAAGTTGTTAAGAGAAAAAAACTTCATCATCAAAATTGTGATGTTAGACTTCAGTTTGGTCACAGTGTCTAATTAGATTGTGTCTTGGTAGTTAAATTATAAGGAGGCTGTTGCTGTGCTCCTTTATAAGGGTTAAACTATGATTGTAGTGACTTGCATAAAATATTTTTTTTAAATCAAACCATTATAAATATATATATATATATAAATGTATAGTAATATTCTTATTTTGATAGACTCTGGTTTATTATGTAAATTTCAGTATCTTCAGTATGGGAATTAGCAAATTGTTTCACAATAGAAATTACTGGCTGAACATACCTGATATTTTCCTAGTTTAGATCCATATTTTGCTTTGTCTTATAAGTTGGCCAAAAGTCTGGCCTAATCATCAGACCAGATATCTGGGAGTTCCTGGTTCTATGCTCACTTCAGGTTAGGTTGTATAGACTGTCAGTCTTGTGTTTTCTCCTTACAGAATTAATATATTTGAATTTTTATGCCCACATAATTGTCAAAAGCAGAAATTTCCTCCTCTACTGGTCCAATAGTATTCTTGAAGTACTTTGTAACTTAATTTATATTATACAAAGTCAACTTGTTTGAACTAAATACTTCATCTTTTCAAACAGAGCAAATGAATTTGATATAATTGTTTAGAGTTTTTGTGATATATTGTATCATTTGTGTTGTTTTATTATTTAAGTGGATTGGACTTAGTTTCCCAACAGACTACAGTATTGATCTTATATTTTTAAAATTAAAAAAACTTACCAAAATGTTGTAGGAGATGATAAAACATTAAAAAATATGGATTTTCCATATGTTGAATTATTCAAAGGTTGGACTATAGTCTCAATGCTTTTTAATCATAAATTATCTAAAAGTTTAATTAATAATTCAGAATGTATAAAGCAGTTGTTTAGCTATCTGAAAAGTTATGTTTATTATGTTGATTTTATAGCAAAACTGTGGTACAAAATACTTAAACTTCTGGTGATTAAGAGTGAAGTAATAACCATCATCTCCTCTAGATGCACATTTTCTTAAGCTGTATGCTTTCACACGTGAATGTTTATTTTAAGCATGTAAAAGTAGCAGAAAATACCTTTTTTTTTCCTTCCTGTGATTACAGAAGCTGCTGGGTTTGCTTTGCTACCGATGAGGACGATCGGACAGCAGAGTGGGTGCGGCCCTGCAGGTGCAGGGGCTCCACCAAATGGGTGCATCAGACTTGTCTGCAGCGCTGGGTGGATGAAAAGCAAAGAGGAAACAGTACTGCTAGAGTTGCTTGTCCTCAGTGCAATGCAGAATATTTAATAGTATTTCCAAAGCTAGGTAAGATACAGATAATTTAAATTGTTGCTTATTTATTTGTTCTTGCGTTCCTTTTTTTTCTCCTTTCTTGTGCTCAGAGCACCACTTCTGTTGGAAACCTGTCTATTCCCTTTCCCAGACAGAAAGAAATAACTTATATTCTGCTTGCATCCTGTTTGGTGGCTTAGTTAAATACCTTCTAAAAATTTTGGATTTGTTCCACTTAGGTATATAGATAAATCTTGTGATTGACCTGTAATTATTTCCTGGCTAATGGGATTGTTTTTCTTCTTGAGCAGAAGGTGACTTCTTTCAGCAGTTGCCACACAGCACATAAACACATCCTTTTTTTGACTCAGCTTGCAGAGACACTTTTATCAGAGGAAATTTAGAGGAGAATTTCCTAAGCAGCATGTGGCATTACTGGAAAAACATACTTTCACTTTGGTCAGGAGGTGTTTCTGAGACAATATTGCCCTGTAATCAAGAGGCAGAATATTTATGATTGCTGGATACTGCTGTAGCTCTGTTTGTCAAGGTCAAAAAAAAAGTTGGACATGGTCTTCCAGTCTCTTACTTGACTAGCCAAGTAGGATAATGCACAGTATGTTGCTTTTATTTAAATTAGCAGTGCTTGCTGTTATTTCAGCCCTCGTTTGTCCATGTGTTCTATAGGATATATTAAGCAAATCAAAATGAAATGTTGCCATGGAAACTTAAATTTTGTTTAGAAGTAAAACTGATTGTTAGAGAAATGGTGATGTAGCAATTGAGTGCAGGCATTTAGAGGATTTTAAAGAAGATTTTTTTAAAGTATCTTATTTCTGTAATGAAAGAGCTGAAAATAACTCACTGCCAGTTCTTTGGGAGAGGACCTCTTTCTTAGTAGGGTAAGGGCTGATGAAATTAAGGTGTCAAGGGAATTTTGAGTGACATTTACTTCCATGATAGAACACTGAGTAATGGGAAAGAAAATATACACAACAGTATTGCATTGTTGATATAAAAAAAGACATAAACCCATATGAAACTTACTACAAGTTATTAATACAACAGCCCCACTTCGGCTTTGCTGAATAGGGTAACTCCCCATCATAAAGAAGGCATCAAACAATAACATTTAGAATTGGCTTTGGGAAGAAAACTGGGTTTCCATCTGGACACAGAATGCACCACAAAACTTTACACTGTTTGAAATTCTTGTTTGTATCTTTACTGATGAAATTGTAATGTGAGATGTGTTTGCATTTTATTTTGACAATGGCGAAAAGGGGTAGCAACTCTAATTTGGACAGGATACATTAACATAACAGGCCTTTTCATTTGTTCCTGCAATTCGTGGCAAACTGTACTTGAAAGCTTAGATTCCAACATTCCTGGATTCTGAAGCTGGCCTAAAATTCTTGCATGACATTGTTCAGTTTTTGCATGCAGGTATATGAGACTCCCTTCATGGATTTTGATACATTTTGCCTCATAATACCATCTTCTTCTATTTTTAAAGATAAGGGCATAAAAATTCAGACTTGTCTAAAAGTACACAAGACATTGGTAGTAGAGCAGGGAAATTAATCTGGGTCCATGGAACATCAGTCATGACCTTGAAGTGCCTTAAACAAGTGAGCCAGTCTTGCCCTTCTGTAACTCTTTCTAGTAAACCAGAGCTGTTCTAGCACAATTCAACTACAAGTCAATCAAGGTCACACCAGGCAGAGTAAGGACAGTAAGAATTTTCCAAGAAGCCTTGGAACACTTCTTTTGAAGACAGTGTTTGTCATACCCTTCCCTGAGGCATCACAGTTCAGAAACTTACTTACTTTAAGACTTCCCTTAATGTACTACTGGAAACTTTTTTCTGAAAATTCTGTGAAAGGATACCCTCATCACAAAATTTAATTTATGATTATAGTTTAGAAGTAATATCAACTTGAGGAGACATCAGTGAATAGAAGTAACAGTGGGTGTTTCTTTATATATTTACTAGTTCAAAACAACCTCTCATGAAATATCTCAAAATCAGAATTCCGTTTTAGATTTGATACTGCCTATCAGTTCTGGTGATTGGTGATAATTATGTTCCTGTGAGCTGTTTTTGCTCTTTCAAGAACTTTCACTAAATAGAAAAAATATTGTTACCACTTTGAAAGTAACCAAAGAATCTCTTAGATAATTATTTCAGTTTAATAAAAAGAAAACAGTTTGGCAGAAAAAAACTCTTTGAAGCATGATCTATTTTTCAAAATGAAAAATATTTTTTCATATTTCCTTCTTTAATTTGAGTATCAGTGATATCTATTTTTCTGTTTCTTTCTCCATACCACCTTAAAAAGCAAAACCAGTTTTGTCCTCCTTTCTCACTACTTCCTTCCTAAGTCCTAATTAAAAGATTGTTTCAATAATTTTTTTCTAGTATTTTCTCAAGATTCGATACCTGATTCTCTAGCCAGGTTTCTCTTAATGATTAGTATCAGTAGGTGTAATTTGTTAGTACTTGTGTTATAAGGCAACCTTCAGTGTCATTTGAGTCTCCTGTCTTCAAACATAAGTTTTCAAAATGGTAAAACCAAACAACTTTTTCAGTGCCTCTGGGAAACAGTCAAGATGTGTAAACTACTGTGCATTTAGTACTTGCAGTTATGACCTTGTTGCTACTTCCAGCATACTGATAGATGTCTCAGCACCTTCTTAAGTGTGTTCTGGAAAGTCAAACACAACTATTAAGAGTTGAACTGGACGTTCCTGTTGCCTTTTTTCCACCAGCTGATTTGAGCTGAATGGAACTGGGCTTTTTGAAAGCATTCTCAGTAGAGCTGTTCTCTAGAAAAAGAACTAACTAAGTCATGAAATGGGAGTCACAATTTTGTCACTGTGGGTAAACTTTGAGAGACATGGAGGATTAGTTACTTGAGGAATGCCTGTAGGCTGGTTTTGAGAATTTCCACTGATTTTGGTAGGAAAAAGTAGGAGGGAGCTCACAGGAACTGCTCATGCATATGAGCTGTGGGAGGACAGTCTGTATGTAGAATTTGTTGACAAAAACAAAAGTAATGTGGATTATGGTGATGATGGTTTTCACTTCCATGTATACGTTTCAGTGTTCTGGCTTTTGCCTCACTCATACTCTTGCAGTCCCTCAAAGCAAAGGTGCAGGCATTGCCCTTGTTTACCTCACCAAAGGTAGTCAGGGTATTTATTGTCTTGCCCTGTGTAAGTCTGGAAAGTGCAGTTGTGCATAGGCAGAACAATGAACCAATTCATGTGTTGTTGTCAAAGGCACTGAATAACCTGAATAGGAGTATTTTTTCCTCCAGTGTTTTGAGAGGTGATCCTTTAAACATACTGAATGCAGCTTCTTCCAGTGGAAGGAATCTTTTGTATTAACTGTGCTACTTTTTACTACATAGCAGGATAGTTTAGTGACAGAATTTTCAGGTGAAGTTGTCAAAGATAAGGACATGAAGTACATTACAACAAATCGGTATTTTTTCCTTTAGAAAACTAAAATATCTAACAAATAAAAAAGGCACTAAGCCTAAAGTGGTTTGTACAAAAGAACAATTCTTACTCAACACAAAGGAAGCTAATCACTGGGTAAATTAGTGCTTTAAGCAGTGTATCAATCTCCTGGAAAATTGAAATGGTAGGTAGGCAGAAGTTACAAGTTTAGCTTAATAGCTTTTTAATTATATATTATATTATATTATATATATTCACTTACACAGCATGTGTGGTATGTCAGACTTGCACTTTGCCTCGTTTGTTCTTTCTTATTGGTGATAGATGCTGACTTTTCTACAGTATGCTTTTATCTGTGTGTATCTATATATATATATATATATATCTCTCTTGAAACCTTACTTTTCCTTTATCATAGGTCCAGTTGTTTACGTTTTGGATCTTGCAGATCGCCTGATCTCAAAGGCATGTCCCTTTGCTGCAGCTGGAATCATGGTGGGCTCTATATACTGGACAGCCGTTACCTACGGAGCGGTGACAGTCATGCAGGTACACGCTTCTTCCCTCTTCCTGCCCCCTCTGAGAGCAAAAGTCAATTCTGACTCCTCTTTCCTTGGCTTAAAACGTGCTTAGCTGCTTTCAGTGTAGTTACCAGTGAATTCAAGATGGTTTTTCATGTTTAACTGGTCATAGTTTATAACTGCAAGTATGCCTGTTGGGCGTGGTTCAGTCTGCAACTAACAAACTCCACTACTGCTCTAGCTGGCTGCCCTGTGTATGGCAGACTGGTGAGCACAATTCTGTTCTCATGGGAAAAGGTGCCATTACCACCTAGCTGCCAATAATGAGTATCTTCAGTAAAGACAGGAGATTTAATCTTTTCTTTACTTGGAGAAAAACTTTGCTAGTAACATTCAAAGCGTTGAAATTGAAAGATGGTAAATTATTTTCTGGAAATTGTGATTTTCTTTTAAAATTGTATAAAGGAAAATACATGCTCTGAATGATGCAATTCATTCATAAACAAGAAATACAAAACACTGCAAATTAATGTTTTAATTACTTCAGACTATATGATTAGTTGAAAGGGGAAAAATAGTTTTCCTGCCTCTGTTCTTGTGAACTTACTGTTTAAATGGAAAAGTAACATTGACAGGTGGTACCCTATTAACTATGGAAAGACTTGGTAATGGTGATTCTAGTTCAACCACAAGACCAGAGTTTTCAGAGATTGTACAATCAGAAGCGCACTTCCTTACCCTTTTAGTTGTTGATTCCTATATCAAGTCTATAACCCGTGTTTTACCTGAAAGCATAAAAGTATTTCTGATGCTAATTCAGCTGTAGATAGAATTAACAAGCCAATATGTTAATAAATACTCCTCTCCTTCTAATTTTAAATATACAACCTGGTTCTTCTCTCATAAGTCATTTGGCACTAGTTCTTGAGATGTGTGGTACTGCCCTGCCCTGTGAAGATGGTGTGCTGTTTTGGTTCAGTTTCTGTGTCATCTGAAAGCAGAAATGGAGCCCAAATGAGTGGTGCAGTTTCCCTGTACCAGTGTGGCCAAGGGTCAGGCAGCTGCATAGGTGATGTGTAATGGCTTTCAGTACCCCCTCCATTCCAGTGGGTGAGTCTGTGTATTACAGAGTGGTGCAATTAAGTATTTCTTCATTGGATAT